CCAACAGTCTACAAAACTCTCTCTAGGAGAAAACTGAAAGATTTTCATTAACCAAACACTTGAAGCAAGGCAGAGAACATTTAATTCTGTGAAACACAGAATAGTGGAATTATCCCAGCAATTTATATGTGAGCTCTGAGTCAGTGCTTTCAGGCAGGGAATAATTCCACATATGCATCCCAGATGAAACGGGACCATAAATCTCTTTCTGAATGGTACTTTTCAGCTTATATGCTTGGCTTCAAATTCATCTCCTACAGGAAAGACACTCAGAGACAGAAGCAGCTCCAGGCCCAACCCATGGAACACAGTTCAAGAGAGCATTTTGCTATGATGACATGCTGTCACAGCACAGGTAGCTGCAAAAACACCTGGAGGCATGAAGAAGGTGTCTGGAGGGACACGAGACAGCCAACGGCTCAGGTAGCCCACAATGGGACTGGGCTGTCCAACTTGGAGAGATGGATATGTGTCTGACCCCTTCTCTGAAAGCTCTGCCAAAGAGATGCCACTACATCTGAAATGCAGGTTCATGAAAGGGATCCATCCTGGCCTTCCATGACTTCTAGCTCTTAAATAGGCATAATTGGTAAATCAACTGCAGCATAATTAGAAGCTATCAGCATGATATTCCCCCAGGATATCCAAACTTGGAAAGTCTTTCAGGAAAAGACGGATAATTCTGCAAGGGTGGTGCTGGAGGTCTTGGTGCAGCCTGTTCCCTGCCAACCTGAAGCTGTGGCGTTTGGCCAGAAGTGTGAAAGAGGAGGGTTTCCAGTGGTAGCAACCAAGTGGCAATGCTGGGGGCTAGCAATGTGCTGCCCTAGCTTTTAAATCGTATTTGGTGAGCTGCTGATATTGTACCACCACGCCTTTTTGAGAGTACTGCAGAGATTGAATAACCTTTTTCATTTTTAGGATCCCAGACAGACCCCTGAGAGGACATGGGTAACCCTCAGAAGCAATTTTACTATGAGCTTCTGCAACAGACAAATACTTGATTTGCCTGCTTCCAGTGGAGATGTCCTTTTGTGTCTTCCCACAAGAGTGAGGCTGAGCAGGGAAAGGCTGCACTCCATGTCCCACAAGCTCTTTGGTAAGGGAAGTAGCCAGCCCTTATGGGTAATGAAGAAGGAAACTGGCAGTGCAGAGTGGAATGCAGAGCAGAGGCAGGAGTGGAAATGTCCCCTGGCCACAGCAGTGGGATGAGGAGGTGCTTTCCCTGCAGGTCCAGGGAGAGCAGGCAGACTCTATAGCCCAAGAAGCTGCCACCTGACTGAAATGATCCAGCCAGCAAAGGCAACAGAAGGGAAACTGACATCCAGGAAGCCTCGGTCAGCAGCCACAGCCTCGGCAACTGCCATGTGTAAGACTGAGCCTTGTCTTTAAAAGGGTGGTCTTCGTTTCAGCATTTTGCTTTCTTGTTTCTGGATGTGAAGAAACAGTAAGCAAAAGGGTTGTTCCATGTGAGCAGAAGAGTTAGATGTTGTGGCTGATCAATGTGCTTCCTGGAATTCTACATAATTTAAAGGCCCAAACACTTATGTCCAAGATGACTTTGCTGTCTGTGGGACCAAAGAAAGATATATCCCTTTGTAGTAGGAGCTCCTTGTTACAAAAGCACCCTTGCCAAGTCCTACTCAAGCCCAGGATATCTGAGGACACCCTGTGACTCTTTCAGGGTATCTCCTTGCCTGGATGGGAGTACAGCTGCTGCTATGAATGTGACTGAGCCTTTAGAAACTTTTCCCATGGGAAGTTTCTCAGCAGTCCGGCACACTGGTTGCTATAGGGCTTGAGCCCATGCTGGCTTCACAGGGAGAAGATAATGCCCTTCCTCTTTTATAGATCTGGGGGCTATGAGCATGTCCTGCTTCAGTCCACTCTTCAGGTTAAAGAGCCTGATGAATCTCCCTCAGACCATGTTTTTAAGCCCTTCCTTGCACCCTCACCAGGTAGCCGACAGCTGTGTCCTCAGCTGGCAGAGTCCTCCAGCCGAGATTTCACCGATGCTGACCCGAAGGACCAAATCCCACCACATGTTTTGTAGGGTGCAATCCTCCTTGTGCAGCCCTGTGAGATGTCAGGCTTTCTCTCAGCACTGCTTTTTATTTCTGCAGAACTTCTACCAGGCAAGCTGCTTCCCATACTACATTTTGCAGCAGATTATTCCCAGGTCAGCATGATGCTTCCCACCTCAGTTACATTCAAATTCTGACCTTACCTGCACCTGCAGAACTTCCTGCAGAGACTTCCACAGACCCCACATTTGTTGCTGCCAGGATTGTCAAGAGCATCAAATTATCTATGTAGAAAGGTTCAGAAGGGCTAATCCACCATCTGTTTGCAGAAGTAAAACCTTGGGCAGGTAGTTAATTTTACACAGGTCAAACCCTGTTGAATTTGAGGGCTGCTCATAAGCAGCTGTATTTACATACATGATCTTGTGGAGAAATAGGTGCTGGCGTTTTTAATACACTAGTTACTTTATTAAGGAGAATCGGACATATTTTTTTAGTCAAGTTGTGTCAGGGATTAGTTTGACAGACTTAATGTAATTAGATGGAGATGAATTTGGCCTGGTGATCTTTTTCTTATTGTGTCCTCCCACTGTTTGACCAATGACTCTCCAAATAGCTTTGAACTGATTTAAGACTTTTCTCGCTGTTTACTTTGAGGTTTTTTTCTTCCTTTTTACTATACATGACTATTCCCTTTGTGTCCTGGAAGAGATCCTCATGTCTTAAATATGTCATTCTTACAGGAAGGTTATGATAAATCCAAACCCCTCAGTCAGAAGAGGGGCCGCTGCCAGGTTCCCCTTCTACTCACTAACGTGACTGCCAGCAAGGGACACCTGGATTTCAGCAGGCATACCAGGATCAGGGATACACGAGTTTTAAAGCCAACATCCACTGGCTTTAGGTGGCCACTCGGTGAAGCTGGTGGGTTTTACAGTAAAACAAAAAAACCCAAAAAACAACAACAAAGCTCAAGGCACATCATCAAAAGCAACAGGCTAACACTCAGAACTGTGAAACCAACACTGCTTCTGTCAGTACACTCCTCAAGTTGTTAAATAACAATACAAGCAAAAGTGCATCTTAACTTTATTGGAGCTTGTAAGGCAGGCATATTTATCTGCGTCCTGAAAAGAATGGGAAGATACCCAAGGATACAGATGATTTCAGCATGTACAGGACTTCGTCAGCAGAGAAAAAACAGGTAACAATTAAGTACCATTTTCTAATTTCATAGGAATCAAAGAGTACCTTGCAGAAGAACCAAGCTACTTAGAAATAAATGCTAGTCCTTGGACATCTTAATTATATAATGTTCTCTTTTTTCATGCTGGAAAGTGCTCTGGTTCCTGACAACTATCTATCTATCTGATGCCTGACAATAATCTGGTTTTGGTGGTTGTAAATGAATTGCAGATCATAGTCTTACCAAATAAAAGCTTCTCTATGTGCTTGCACTTTTAAAATTGGGTAGAGCATACGAAAGCTACCCTCCCAAGTCCTGGAGTTTGAGAGATGACTGAAATGCAAATGTAGGCTGAACCCAGCCCACGATCACAGAGGGCTACTGGCTCTTATGAGTTTGTAATCTGCTTTTCAAGACAGTCAAGAACTGCTCACCTCATATTTACAGACCTCCTAAAAAAACTACAGGAAAAATCCACAGCACTAGTGATTACCTAGTTCTGTGCAGAGAGACTGATGATGCTGTTCAGTCCACGTTTTCCCTGATTTGGTTTGCCTTGAACTTTTGAACGACTGCGATTCATGTGACTGAATGCTTCAATGAGCAGTACTTAAGCCCTGGTTTTGGGAAACACAGAAGCAAGTTTGCCTTCAGCCTTGCCTTCAGCAGCTGAGTAATTCCACCGAAGCTCATGACACCTAAGCCCCCACTTGAATTCAACAAGCATTTTACTGTATGGATGCCATACTTACATGTTTCTCTATGGCAAAGGAGTGCTATTTCTATATCATCGGAGTTACAGATTGGTGTGTTTTTTTTCTGGTTTTGTTTGTTTGTTTGCTTTGTTTTTAAACTTAGAGGCCCAGTACACCCCGATTACACGCCAATTCCTTTCTTTTGAAGCTGAACATTTCAGATTTTTTCAGTAAAAATCCCAGCCACCAGGAAATAAACACAGATTAAATTTCTTATGCTTTTAATAGCCCATTATTTAGAGTCAGCATGGACTCAAATAATGGACTTTAAGTGTAAGGTTGGTTACAAACAAAATGAACTAGCCCTGTTTTCTGCCCCCTATCTCTCTACACATCTATATTGAAGGAGACCCCAAACTGTGACCAAAGGGAGGTGTCTATTCCACCTGATGCTCCTTTTGGGTCACAAAGACTAACAGGTAGATCGACAGTCCAACAGCTGTATTTCATACCCCTGGAGGTCCAGTCCTGAAGCGAGAAGTACAGTCTACCTCGTACAGTACTGAGAATAACTATTTTCACATCCTGTGCATCATTCCACCACTCAGCCCCCACCCAGGCATGGGAAAGCAAAGGGCAGAGCACTGCCCTTTCTACCTACTGAGAGAAAGGGCCAGGTGATTCAAAGACGACCTCACAGCAACACGAATAGCGACTGGGGATACCTAGACAAGCCTGGAGAGCACGCTGCTTACCAGGACAACGGGAACGCTGGGCGCCGAGGGGAAGCCGCGCTGGGCGGGATACCCCCGCTACTCACCCGCGCTCCATGCTTCCCACGGACACTGGAGCCGCGCAGCCCTCAAGGACACCTTCGGGAGCCGTCTCAAGTTCACGAAGGAAAACTTAGGAGTGACTACAGGGCGGCAGCCTGCTGCCTCCCCGCCGCTGTGCTAGCGAGGTTTCCCCTTACAGCCCGTCTCCTCGGGGCAGCAGCGGGGGATGCCAGATGAGGCACCCTGTACATTTCTGCAGCTCCCTGCGACCCCTGCACTGTCCCGTCCCTCCTCCCGCAGCAGCCCAGACTCAGGCACTCACCTGGGCTCAGGCGGTAGCGGCTCCTGCTGCCCCTGGGCGGGGGTCGCCACCCCGGGGAGGGGGTGCGTGGGGCGATACGAGCTCCGTCGCCTCCCCGCAGCGCGGCAGCCACCAAGTGCTGCGCTGCCTCTCGGCACTGGGATTTATCGGCGGCGGCGGGGTGGGGGGGAAACGCCGTGCGGACCCTCTTCGGGGCGCGCCGTGACTGCGGGCAGCGCCCGCTGCCTTCCCGCCCCCCTGGGCGGGGGGGGCCGGCGGGGCCGGGCCAAGGCGAGGATGAGGATGCGGCAGCTCCGCTCCCCTCAGCTCCGCTTCGCGCCGGCGGGGACACGGCACCGGCACCGCCCCCGCCCGGCCGCGCCCGCCAGGGGGCACCGCCGCCCGCCCACAGCCGGCTCGGGCACCGCCGGGTGAGCCGCGGGGACACCCGGCCAGGCCCGGCCGCGGCCCTAAGCCGCCGCCTCTCCCCGCTCCCCGGCGTGGCTCCCGCCGCTGCTCAGGCACGACTGTCGCCGCTGTCCGTGCCAGCGATGCGCGGGGGCTGGGCCCCTGTCGGGGGCGCTGTCGCTGCCCTGTCGGGGCGTGGGTCGGCAGGCGGCTGCCACCCTGCCTGGAGCCCGGCTGCGGGGCTGGGTCACCCCGCTCCCGGCTGGAGCTCAGCCCGCGCTGGTGCGGGCAGCAGCGCGGAGAGTAGGTGTGTCGGCGGGCAGAGCGCTTCCGAGGGCTGGTACCTGCTGCGGTGACTGTCTGGGAACCTGGAGCCTGCTTGGGGCTTGCTCGCTCCTCGCAGCCCGTCCGTCAGCACCCTGTGCTGACCGGTGCCGGAGACGCGCTCCCGGAGCAGGCGGGGCTGTGGTGTGAGCCATGTGCGTTTGCGAGCGTGTTTTGTGATTATAACATTGCATCCACGCTATCTGAGCGCATCGGAGTGAAGTTGCTCAGTTCTGCATTGTATAGCCTGTACAGAGTGACAGATACCCTGTGGAAGTACACTAGAGAGAATTTAGAGGCCATTAATGATTCAAAATGAAGTAGCTGTTCCCTCTGAGAATGACATAATTTCTACCAGCAGTGTTTACATTGCCAAATGCAACTTTGATGCTATTTTTTCTGCCAAAACAGGTAGGATGGAAGCTTCCCCACACATCAAACAATTGGTGTAAAAATGCCACAGGACAGTCTTAAAAGGTTTCTGCTTTTCTAAGGAAGGATGGATGCATGGGATACAAGGAAAACAATAAGTGAAGAACAGAAGTAAAAGAACCTCCACTTTGTCTAAGGAAGTTGTCACTAACCAGAAATCATATTATTTTGCACAGCTGTAGATACTTGTGGTTTAATGTGGAGTGTTGTTGTTTTAAAAATCCCTCCACTAAGTCTCTGCTCCTGTCTCTCCTACTTTAGCGAAGCATACTCTCACAGAGTCCTGATGGACAAAATGTCCAGCACACAGATGGATAAACACATCATTTGGTGGGTGAGCAATTGACTCACAGGTTGAGCACAGAGGGTAGTAGTGAATGGGGTAACATTAGAGTGGTGACCTGTCACTAGTGGGATTCCACAAGACTCCATCTTGGGCCCTGTGCTCTTTAACGTCTTCATAAATGATTTGGACACAGAATTGGAAGGGATACTCAGCAAGTTTACAGATGACACAAAACTTGGAGGAGCTGTTGACTCCCTCGAAGGCAGGGAGGCCCTGCAGAGAGACCTCGACAAATTAGAGGACTGTCAATCACCAACCATATGAAGTTCAACAAGGGAAAGTTCTGGATTCTGCCCCTGGAATGGCGTAACCCTGGATGTACGTAAAGACTGGGGAATGAGATGCTGGAAAGCGGTGTCATAGAAAGGCACCTGAGGGTCCTGGTTGATGGCAAGTTGAACATGAGTCAGCAGTACCCTGGCAGCCAGGAGGGCCAAATCTATCCTGGGGGCATCAGGCAAAGCATCACCAGCCGGTCAAGGGAGTTGCTTGTCCTGCCCTGGTCTCCACTGGTGCAGCCTCACCTTGGATATTGGGTGCAGTTTTGGGCATCACAATATAAGAAAGATATTAAGCTACTGGGAAGTGTCCAAAGGAGAGCAGTGAAGATGGTGAAGGGCCTTGAGGGGAAGCTGTATGAGGAGCAGCTTGGTCTGTTCATCCTGGAGAAGAGGAGACTGAGAGGAGACCTCACTGAAGTCTACAACTTCCTCGTGAGGGGAGGAAGAAGGGCAGGTACTGATCTCTTCTGGTGACCCCTGACAGGTCCTGAAGGAATGGCCTGAAGTTGTGTCAGAGGAAGTTTAAGTTGTATATTAGAAAATGGTTCTTCACCCAAAGGGTGATTGGGTACTGGAACAGGCTCTCCAGGGATATGGTCACAACACCAGGCCTGTCTGAGTTCAAGAAGCATTTGGATGATACTCTCAGGCACATGCTGTGACTCTTGGGGATGGTCCTGTGCAGGGCCAAGGGTTGGACTCGATGATCCTTTTGAGTCCCTTCCAGTTCGGCAGATTCTGTGATTCTGTGATTCTGTCCTGGTGCTTTCTGGTGTTCAAGACTGCTGGAGGGCTCTATGGTTTAAAATGGGAGTGGAAGATGGTGCAGATCAAGAAGACCAAACACTTCTGGATCTCATTAATGATGTGCTAATACTTTCCTCAAATTTTGAACAACAAAGGAATGAGATTCCCAAGCATTTTTTATGGTCATCAGTGCTGAAGAGAATTTCTGTCTTGGACTTCCTATAGAGTCTCTGACATCTCTTACTTTTGTTTGGGGATTAGAGGGGGATGGTAAGGCCGATATGTGTTCATATGACATCAGCCATAACAGGGCCATAAATTTCAGCGGGGCCATCATCATGCTGGTCAGACAAATAAAAACTGAGTAGTATTTATTTATACATGTGCATGATTGTATAAAACATGGCATGTGTCTTGTCTCAGGCAGTGACTCTACATCTCACCCATCCTCCCTTAACACACTGCAGCGACAGGTGAAACCTGCTTCTAGGAGCAGGAGGTAGCTGTGTCAATCCCATACACATGGAGAGCCCTCTGTCCAGGGTGCCTGACAATGAAAATACAGATTTGAAAAATAAAAGCCATATGACACAAAACGAAGCATGGAAGGAAGGATTTTAACTGAGACAATGGACTCTTAATGAAAGGCACAAACGTCAGTCACTCACAACTGAATGATTACAAGTGGATCGGAAGCTGGGTGGAGTGACAGCCCAGAAAGCTTCACATTAAGTCAATTAAATCTCATTATTCTTTAGATTTTTTAAAAAATAATTAAATTAATTTCATGTGACTGTGAAAGGAGCTGAAATGACTGCCAAAAAATGTTCTTGTGACAGGCTATAGAGACAGGATTAGTCAGTAATTGTGATACCAGGCTAGTGCTCAAGAGAATTTTGTGTCTTATCTTCCGAACTCTGAGTGGTGATAAGAGGACTCTTCAGTTCTCACAAAATAGTGCTGGGGACAAGTGCTCAGCTTGCATGATGGGGAGGTATCTCTATAACTGGATCATCTCTTAGTGCATACCAGCAATACTCCTTCAGACCTGATCTGTGATATCCTGGGCATATTTACAGGCAGATGATGTAGAGCCTGCTAAGTTGCTTCCTTTCAGATGGCCATGGATGTCTTGCTGTGAAAAGGAACATGCCTTTCAGACAAGATTTCATATGCCTTCAGATATGTGTGCATGCATCTGCTCAGTCTGCCAAACTTCCATCATGGCAGAACTGCAGATGTAAGGGGAAAGGTAGTGTGAGACTATCTTGTGGGCTAACTACCGTCTCCCTTACTGCAGTTCTGGATAATTCAGGTAAAACTAGTCGTAGTGAGCCATGCTGTGTTGGGCAGGAAACATCCAGCAGGGAATTGTTGGCTAGTTGCTATCTATAGATTTCTTTTACTCTTTTTTAATGTATTGCCCTTCTCCTTTCCTGATCCATTCTTTGCATTTAGGTTGCTTCTTCTTCCCTAGGAAGTCATTGGATATATCACCAGGCATGTCTCAGCAGGGCAAGAAGAATCCATCAGAGTGGCTGTCAACAGCGTGCTCTGTAACCCTCTCCTTTCTGTCTGCAGGGCTGGCTGCTCAAATGCTAATGCACTTCACGTGGGATTCATATGCCTTTAGCTTCTGACATGGTGAGTTAATCATCAGAGTGCAAGCTCATCACCTCAGGCTCTCTGTATAGATAATGGAGAGAAATAGGCACCTCCAGAAAGCAACTCCTCTCATCCATCTTAGGCATCTATGTGAAGATGAAATGAGCTGCCTTTTGGAGATGCTCATTTCTCTCCACCAAGTCTTAAAGGAGCCCAGGGTGACTCGCTTAGATGGAGGCGATTAATGTTTAGATATGTACAGTGAAGTGAAATGATTTCACTTCTTTTGAGTAATTCTAGTAGTCATGACCTAGTGGAGATTGAGAACCCTTGAGACTTTCTGCATATCCTATAAAATGCTGGTTAGGGGCAAAGCTGAGCTGTTTTGCAGCTTTCTGGCAAATAAAAGCAGTGCTGATCAGATAGATTAATTCTAGTGCAGCAGGATGATGCAAATATAGGAGGGGACAGAGAAATGTTGTTCAAGCAGTTTCCAGAGGTGCCATTTTGACTGGTAGGTGGCTGCTTCCACCCACCTATCCATCTCTATGTGGTAGCTGGCTGCTTAGAAACAGGTGACTCCAGAACCACTCTTGCCTGTGCTAAACCAGTTTTCTCTTCAGCATTAGAGTGATTCAAAACTCATTTTAAGGGCTCTTGCAGCTCTCTCTAAAGCACCTTTTTCTGTCTATGATGAGATGCTGTAAGAGACACTCACCAGATTCACCGTAGTTCTTTCTTCAAAGCTGCCTCTTCCTGAGCTCTGGATGACACCCTGTTATCTTCCTAAGGAGATAATTCTCTTTTGTCTTCTATGAAAAAGTGATCTATTTTGCTGTCAGTACCCAGTAATCTACTGCATTGCAATTACTCCTCTTAAGCAAATTAACAAAACAGCATCCTCATTTTATTTGGATTACCTTCTGCAGTTAAGACTTGACAGATGATACCAAAAATACCAATGTAAATACTATGTATTTTTATGTTTGATCTTCTCAGAAATACTCTCAGGCTTATGTTTTTCATGTGTGGTCTCTGGTCATTAGTAGTTCTAGGACTCCGCGGTATAAACAGATGCTTCTGCAGGGAAGAGCAGAGCTACCGTTTTT